CACCCCCATCTCCTACCGACTAACCTCATCCCGCCCCCTTGACCTGTCCGTCCTCCCTGGACTGACCTATCCCCTCCCTAACTCCCCACCTACACTCACCTTTACTGGCTCCATCCCCGCCTCTTCGACCTGTTTGTTTCCTCTCCACCTATCCTCTCCTCTATCCATCTTCTATCCGCCTCCCACTCTCTCCCTATTTATTTCAGAACCCCCTTCCCCTCCCCCTTTTCTGATGAAGGGTCTAGGCCCGAAACGTCAGCCTTTCTGCTTCTTTGAATTCTGTTTGGTTTGAAGACTCCTTCAGTAAGTGAAGAAGGAGATAACTCTGAAAACTGTTCGAAAGCGACTTCCACCAACCCAACTCCACACTCTTAGGTGACCATGTATCTCTCACATTTTTACATGAATAAACCTCTAATTGATTTTACATTTTCAATATTGGTGCCTGCATGCACCAGGATATGAAAAATATTATCTCGCAGAAGATATTGTAAGGCAAACTTTACTGTTTATCAACGAACAACCTTGATGGCTAGACCCTGCATTGGTGCTTCAAAAATTGAAATGGAAGCTGTAAGTGCTGGAAATACTCTGCAGGTCTGGCTGCTTCTGTGGAGCGAAAGGCAAAATTAATGTTTCAAGTCAATATGACTCTTCTTTGGAACTGGTGACATCACACTAGAGTGGCAGAAATTGTTGGAGGATGATCAGTTGAATGTGAAGGCTGATCAAGTGGAAAAAGAGGACAGAAAGAACACTATTATGTTCTGGGAGGGACAGAAAAGGATGAAAGCAGAACTGCAAGAAATGGATTAGACATGTTTGGCAGCCCTGTCAAACACAGTGGTGAGGAATTCTAGTTGAGCAAAACGAAAGAAATGGTGAGAAAGGAAATAAAGGTAGGAGTTGGCCCTTGGTGCATGCTTCAGCATTCAAACTTCAACCTCAATTCAAGCCTCCACAGCCTGTTGGGGTAGAGAATTCAAAACAGTTATTACTCTCTCAGTGAAGAAATTCATCCTCATTTCAGTCTTAAATCCCTACATCATATTCTGAAATTGTGTCCCCCGATTCTCAACCCCTCAGCCAGGGCATTTACCTGTTGAATCGACCTGCACGAATTCTACCCTGTAAGAAGTTGTATGTTTCAATGAGATCGCCTCTCATTCTTCTAAATGTCAGAGAATACAAGCCCAGTTTAGTCAATCTGTCCTCATAGGACAATGCTGTCATTCTGAGAATCAGTTTGATGATTCTTTGTTTCAGTTCCGAGGAAGCTCCATTGTGGTAGGAACCATCATCAGAATGGGTGTGGCAGAAATAGATAAACAGGGAGAATGGAATGTAGTCCTTACAGGAAGCAAGGTGGCCGGAACTGTAGTCAAGGTAGCCATGGGTTTGGTGGGCTTATGATAAATATGATCCGACTGCCTTTTCCTGAGAAACGGAGATAAAGAAATCCAGGAAGGAAGGGGAAGCGTCAGAGATGAACCATGAAGGTGATGGAACTTCAAAAATTGAACCAGGTTAGTAGTGTGTAATGACTGCGAGCTATTAACCTCACCAATAAGAAGTGTCTGTTGTCTTAAAAGCAAGAAGGAAAACAATGGCTATGAGAAAAGGAAAGCTCCAAAAGGAGCGTTGCAAGTTTAGCACGATTCTGACTGCTGTGCATTTCATATAGTATTGTAGAAGTGAGATGGTTATTACAGCATCCAACTGATATAAAGTCATGTACACCCTAACCAATTATACATCATAAAACACCGATATTTTCATTTGTGATGAAAAGTGTGTAATTTATATGCATTAATATTATTGTTAGAGTTTGGGTTTCAAACTAGTGGTAAATGGATTTTGCTGAATTTTATGAAGGTTTTGTTTTATAAAAGAAAGGACAAGATTAGAGATCAAGTGATCATAAAACTTGTGGAGTGTTAATGGAAGAATGTTGATACTGGGGAGGTGGGGGCGGACAGGGGTGTGGTCTGTGACAGGGATTGTAAACATTGAAGGCATTAGCTTGCTTTTGGATCAAAATTAATCAAGGACTGAGCTGAACTGAAATAAAAACCTCGAGATTGAAAGCTTTTAGGCCAGATTTGGAGGAGACCTGTCTCGGGTCAGATGCAAATATAATTTTATTTTCTTGAAAGGAGTATAGGGCAATTCAAGAAAGCACAGTTACTTTAAGATTAAAGTTTAATTTTTGTCAAACTTCTATGCCAGGAGTGTTTGTTTAGAAATTGAAAGTTAGTAAAAGACAGAAAATCTAACCTTTCAGTTTTGTGAGTAAGAAGACTTCACAGTTCACAGGACAGAACTGGGGAGAAGCAGTTAAATTGAACCCATAAATTTGAAATTGAAGTGTAATTTCTTTGGATCTGAAATGCTGTAAAGCGATGGTGCTGAAGAATAGATAAGACTTTGTTTTGCCATGAGTTTTAAGATCTTTCAAACTGAGTTCTGTATTTAAATAGGTGTTTTTACGTGTAAAACTTCTGTCATATTGTTAAAGTAAATCTGCAGTCTTGTGTACTTACGTTAAGTGATTGACTACCATGTTAAATTTAAGACAAGTACACAAAAATATATAGCTTGACTAGTAGGAGCATCAGTTGGGATTAAAACACATTTACTTCCTTCATTGTGAACAATTTTTTTGTTGAATCTGCAGCAAAACAGAATGTTGCTGAATACACGTATCAATCTAAAATTTCTCTTCGAATATTATGTGACTTATGAGCGACTCCGTGACTGATGACACTCTGAATCTACTGTAGACTTGACATTACTCACATGAGAGGCTTGCATGTAAATATAACTTTGTAGGGTGGTCAGAATAATTTAATTAATCACATTACCTTCCATGCTGCCACAGGCTGCCTTGTATTTGTGTATTTAAACAAAAAGCATCAGAGTTTTGTTCAAAGTGTTTATGATACTTCTACAGTAAGTGAAGAGCTCATTCACTTGTTGATTTGATGGATTATTTTAAACTTTTATTTTATAAGGTTTGCCTTTAAAAAGTTGTGTCTAGGGAACCATTAGCAGCTGTGAAGCCTAAATGGTATCAGATTGTCCCTTCAAGGTGATTATACGTTGCTTGCTAAAATTCAGTATTCAGTGAGACAGACCTGTCATTGCTCTGTCATTCAGTACAAACATAAATTATTAACAATATAGCCTAAAATTCATAAACTTAAGCTCATTGAAATCTCTTCTCCACATAGCTTAACGCACACCATGTTTGGTTAAACCATCACCCCTGTCCTTGCTTACCTACATTGGCTTGTTCTCCATCAATGCCTCAATTTTAAAATTGTCATGTTCTCAGATCTCATGGCTTTGCTTCTCCACATCTCAGGAACCTTCTCTAGTCCCACAACCCTCCAAGAACCCTGTGCTGATCTAATTCTGACCACCTATTTCCACAATTTTAGTTGCTTAACATTAGAAAATTTGACTGCCTAAACTTTAAGCTTTAGAACTTCTTCCATGACTCTCTTTCCCCTTTTTAAGATGTTTATTAAAACTTAACACTTTGAGAATATTTTGATTACCTGTTTTAATATTTTCTTATGTTGTAGGGTGTCAACATTTGTTTGATAAGGTTCTTGTTCAGCATCGTAGGACATAATACTATGTTAAAGACTTGATATAAATGTAAAGTTATGTTTGCACTACAAATTAAAACCTCACCAGCATATGTTTCTATAGTGATAAGTTATTCATTACCGTTAATTAAATATTTCTGTCTGTCAACCAGTTGTTACTTAGTCATCTTATTAATACATATAAAGTGTCATTACTGTTAAAAATATAACCCTATATTGTGCTTCCATTGTGTAAAAACAATAAGTGTATGTACATCAACAGCACATATAAATTCAAGAACAACAAGCACAAAGTGTGTTGACCATAAATTAGACCTTTCAGAGAACTTTAGACACTGAATGTGGTTTTGAAACATATAAGTAAAAAATGTAATCCAGCATTACACCCTGCTTACTTCATCTTTTTTTTACTATATAACAGATTGCAAATTGCAATTCAGAACAAGCAAAGCTACAGAGATACTGAGTTACTTACACTGTGAACAGGATTCCAGTCACAGAGAGCTTAGAAGGCGCACTGTATTTGAAGAGCTTGAGTGATGTGTATTAAAGTAATATGCATGTGACGTATAATAAAGGCGTTGACATTCTCTCAACCACCTGTCAAACCAGCTTCACTAGAGCATGATTCAAATGCAAGTGTTCCATTAATTTAACATAGTGATTATAAAAATGTAAAGTGGGGAGAAGTATCTTGGCAGTAAGTATAAATGAGCGTTAAAAAGTGAATGACCACTTTACTAAATGTACCAACTGTAGAACATAAAGAGTAAACTTGCACTGAGATTTCTGCGGTATGTTTGAACATTGTTTTGTGCCTTTTGGATCACTGCAGACCAGTCAGGTTCAGGTCTTGGCTAACATAAGTTTGCTACTGAGAATTGGCTTATTTTGTCACTGTGTTGTCAGCCTTGTCAGTGTGGAGTTAATTTGATTCTGAAAAATCTGCTTGCTTGCATCCCCTGTCCCCAAGAATGGATATTCTACAGTGAAATTTGTTTTCCATTTTCCAATGCGCTTTTCTGATTTGGTTAAAAAAAAATCAATCATTGAGTGCAGAAATATATGCAATAAAACAATTTTGATTTATGATCCCAATGGAAACCTTTTTTTCACCTCACAACACTTGGTCTGTGAAGCCCTCAAAATGCTGTATCAAGCAACAGAAATGTCACCCTATAATAGATGAGAGAAAATTCAGGAATGAGAGAGCAGAGTGCAGGCATTTGGTTTGAGTCAGATACCTTATTTTCTACATTGTAATGAAATCTGAGCTAGGTATGAAATACTTGTTCTTTGCAGTAAAGTACATTTAATAAACTGGCAGTAGAGCACCAACCCTTTTCACCCATTGTTCCACTTTAAACGTTTGTGGGGTATCCATAGAAAGACATGGAAGCTAGGGAACTCAGGGAGTTAAATAGTGATATATTGAAAATAATCCACATTACAGAGGAGGAGGTGCATAATGGTATATTCCTGGGATCTGATTAAGTGTATCCCAGGACATTGTGGGAAGATAGGGAAGAAATTGCAGGGCCCCTAGCAGGGATATTTGGATCATCGACAGCAACAGGTGAGGAGCCAGAAGACTGTAGGGTCGCCAATGTTATGCCATTATTTAGGAAAGGCTGTGAGGAAAAGCCAGGGAACTAGAGACCAGTGAATCTAACGTCACTTGTTGGAGGCGATTCTGATAGACATGATGCACATGCATTTGGAAAGGTAAGGACTGATTAGGGGTAGTCAGCATGGCTTTGTGCGTGGAAAATAGTGTCTCACAAATTTTTTGAAGGGGTGACCAAGAAGATAGATGAAAGTAGAGCAGTAATCGTTATCCATATGTACTTTAGCAAAGCCTTCGATAAGGTTCCACATTGTTAGTAATGCTAGATCACATGGGATCCAGGGACAGCTAGCCAATTGGATACAAAATTGGCTTTATAGTAGGAGACAGAGGGTGATGGTAGAGCGTTGTTGTTCAGACTGGAGGCATGTGATCAGTGGTGTGCTGCAAGAATCAGTGCTGGGTCCACTGTTGTTTGTCATTTGTATGAACGATTTGAATGAGAATACAGGGGGCATAGTTAGTAGGTTTGTAGATGACACCAAAATTGGTGGTATAGTGGACAGAGAAGAAAGTCATCTAAGAGTACAACAGGATCTTGATCAGCTGCGCCAATGGGCCGAGGATTGGCAGATGGAGTTTAATTCAGATAAATGTGAGGTGTTGCGTGTTTGTAAGACAAACCAGGGCAGGATTTAAGCAATTAATGGTAGGGCACTAGGGTGTGTTGTAGAACAGAGAGATCGAGGGGTGCAAGTATGTGGTTTCTTGAAAGTGGCTTCACAGGTAGACAGGATGGTGAATAAGGCATTTGGCATGCTTGCCTTCATCGGTCAGTGCATTGAGTACAGGCATTGGGATGTCATAGTACGGCTGTACAAGAGTCTGGTAGGGTCACATTTGGAGTGCTGCATATAATTCTGGTCGCCCGCAAGAGGAAGGAAGTTATTAAACTGGAAACATTGCAAAAGAGATTTACAAGGATGTTACCAAGACTAGATAGGCTAGACCCTTTTTTTTCCTGGAGTTGTAGGAAGCTGAGGGGTGACATTATAGAGGTTAACAAAATCATGAGAGGTACAGATAAGATGAATAGCCGAGGTCTTTACCCTAGATGAGGGGACCCTGAAACTCAGTGGCATAGGTTTAAGTTGAGAGGGGAAAGATTTAAAAAGGGGAGCAATCTTTCACACAGAGTGGTGCATGTGTGGAATGAGCTGCCATAGGAAGTGGTAGAGACGGATACAATTACAACATTTTAAAGACATTTGGATAGGTTGTTGGATTGGACAGTTTTAGAGGGATATGGGCCAAATACAGGAAAATGGGACTAGTTCAGCATTAGAAACATGGTTGGCATGGACAAGTTGACCTAAAGGGACTGTTTCCATGCTGTATGACCAAATGACTCTATCATCATCATCACTAGAGGCAATCCTGTGCAGACAAAGATGACTCTCTTCCACTCTCAAGGTGAGTCCAAAGGTGGCTGTACAGACCGATGCGGCTGTTGCAGACTCCATTACACTTGGGGCAGAGGGTGGTCATAGGAAGGGGTTGGCGGGGTGTTCATGTGTCAGTGTGCTCCTTATGCTGTTTCTATCTGATTTCTGCTTTTTCACAACAGCAGGTTTCAAGGTACTTGACGCCTTCTGAGATGCTTCCCTCCACTTTGTACGGTCTTAGGCCAATGATTCCCAGGTGTCTGTGGGAATGCTGCAGTTCGCCAGTAAGGCCTTGAGGGTATCTCTGAAGCATTTCCTCTGTCCACCTGGGACTCGCCTGCCATTTTGGTGCTGGGAGTAGAGCACCTGCTTGTGGAGTCTCATGTTGGTCATGAGGACGACGTACCCAGTCCATCACAGTTGCTCAAGGGTGGTCAGTGCCTTGATGCTGGGGATGTTGGCCTGGTCAAGGATGCCAGTGTTGGTATGTCTTTCTTCCCAAGGGATTCGCAGGATCTTGTACAGGTAGCATTGGTGGTACTGCTCCAGCACCTTGAGGAGTCTGCTGTAGACAGTTCACATCTCAGAGCCATGTAGGAGGCCTCTGTAAACCATGAGTTTGGAGTTGGATCTGGTGTTGTTGTTTTCACAGACCCTTTCCCTGAGGCGGATGAAGGCTGCTCTAACACACTGGAGGCGGTGCTGGATTTCTTCATCAATAGTTGCTTTGGCTGATAGGTCACTCCTGAGATATTGGAAGTGGCCAACATTCTCGAAGGCCTCCCCGTGGACCTTAATGATCGGGAGTTCCCTCCACAATGCCGGGCCAGGTTGGTGGAGGACCTTCGTCTTATGGATGTTCAAGTGAGACCTATGCTTTCATATGCCTCCGTAAACGTGCTGATGATGGTCTCGAGTACATCCTCTGAGATTATACATGTACAAGCATCATTTGCATTCTCCAGTTCAATGACAATGGTTGGGATGACTTTGGTTTTGGCTTGAAGGCAGTGAAAGTTGAATAATTTCCTGCTGGTTCTATAAGTTAACTTCACTCCAGCGGGAAGCTTTTTGGTGGTGAGGTGAAGCATTGTAGCGAGGTAGATCGAGAACAGTGTTGGGACAATGACGCAGCTCTGCTTGACACCAGTCTGGATGAGGAAGGGTTTTATGGTGGAGCCATTTGTCATTACCACGACTTCCATATTGTCATGGAGCAGGCGAAGGATAGTGACAAACCTTATGGTGTGACTAAAGCAGAAAAGAATGCTCCATAATGCTTCCCGATTGACGGTGTCAAAGGCCTTTATAGGTCAAAGAAGGCCATGTACAGGAGTAGGTTCTTTTCTCTACATTTGTCCCGTAGCTGGCGCGCAGTGTTTGGGGCCGGTGGCAGCAGCAGTGGGGTTGTCCTCCCGGTGTTGCGGCTGTTGGCAGCAGCAGAAAAGCTCCCTCCAAATTAGGGATGGGGATGCCGTCACCAGTAGACTGTCCAAGATGGTGGCGCTGAAAAGGTGACATCTGCAGCTGGAGTGAGACTTGTGGCCTGGTGGCTGCCTGGCCTGACAGCGGAGCCAGAGACTCTTGGTTCGGTGGGTGTGGGTTCTGCCACATCAGCAAATGGACCCAGCGGCAAAGAGATGGCACCTAAAGTGAGGTGACTTTGGTGGTTCCGGTATGAGCAGCAGCGAGGTGGTGGAGGTCTCCCTTGAGGCGAGGTGTTGGCATGGACAGGGTCAGAAAGACTGATATTTTGAACTTTTTACTTCTTTATTTTTCCAATTTATTCCTTTGACCTGTAATGCTGGATGATTTATTTCTTTACTTTTCTAATTTTTTTTTAGTTTCCTAAGAACTTGATCTTGAGTATCTGTACGTAAGTACCTTGGTGCCTAGGAATGGTGCCATAATGCGGCGACTGTAAACTCTTCACTGTACTGATTTGAGTACGTGACAATAAAGCTAATTCAATACTCAATGGAGTTTAGAAGGATGAGGAGATTCTCATTGAAACTGATAGAATACTGAGTTGTTCCGTTAGATTGGAGTGTAAAAGGGCACAGCCACAGAGTGAAGGGATGACATTTTAGAATTGAGATGAGGAGGACATTTTCCAGCCAGAGGGTGTTGCATCTGTGGACCTCATTGCCACAGCAAGCTGTGGAGGACAAGTTATCGATTGTCTTTAAGACAAACACACATAGGTTCTTGATTAGTAAGGGGATGAAGGTTTATGGGGAGAAGGAAAATGGTGTTAAGAAACATCAGAGATAGTAGGAACTGCAGATGCTGGAGAATCTGAGATAACAAGGTGTAGAGCTGGATGAACACAGCAGGCCAAGCAGCATCAGAGGAGCAGGAAGGCTGACATTTCGGGCCTAGACCCTTCTTCAAAAGAAGGGTCTAGGCCCGAAACATCAGCCTTAAGAAACATCAGCCATGATTGTGTGGTAGAGCAGACTGGATGGGTTGAATAGCCTAATTCTGCTTCTTTTTATGATCTTATGTACTGCATGTATAAAAGGAGTGATGGG